CTCGAAAACGATCGAGCACCCTCGAACACTTTCGAGCGTCCTCGAAAACTATCGAGCGTACTCGAAAACGATCGAGCACCCTCGAACACTTTCGAGCGTACTCGATAGCTATCGAGCGTAATCGAAAACAATCGAGTGTCCTTGATCAGTTTCGAGCGTCCTCGATCAGTTTCGAGTGTCCTCGAAAACTATCGAGCGTCCTCAAAATCTATCGAGCGTCCTCGATTACTTTCTGTACTTACTCTAAATTTATCGAGTATCTTCTATCATTTTCGAGATATCTATCGCAGGAGACGCTTTTGGTTAGTATCGCGTCGCCTTCTCCGCCACCGTAAGCGCGAGTCTGCGGGCGGCAAGCAAGGATCACCTGACACGTAGCAGACCAGAGCGTACGGCACGTCGTGTAAAATGCAAGCCTCAAAGAGTCATTACTTCATTAGACACCACAGACGGACCCACCAGGATTGTTGCCTTGCTGGAGGATAAGCTGTCATATGGGTACTGGGGCCCTGGCTTTGAGCAAGTGTTGGAGGGAATGGGATGGTTTTTAGTTAGTAAGAGTTGTAGGAGTCACTTCGTCAAGAGTAATTTGAGGACTTTTTGCCCACCCAATAAAAAGGGGGGTGGCATAATCGGTATTTGCACGCCGGCGCTCGCATGCTAGCAGCGGGCGTGGTTATGCACTTGTGAACACATAAAAAATTTAATGTCAACACATTAGTGTCACGACCAATATATATTTTACAGCAGTGTTCAGACTGTCATTGACTCCGTAATAAAGGCAGCATACCTACCAACCATAACTTCACGGTAACATTACTGTAAAGCTTTGTGTTGTCTTTTGTTTCCATTCTCATACCGACTTATCATTGCTATAATACAATGCAAAGGGTTCCTTTATATTCTTTAAAAAGGACAATGCCAGGTGCTCAGTACATCTTTGACCCACTATATTAGAAGTTATGTACAAGTATGCAGTATTCAGCATCGTGTAGTGTATTAATTACCGATACCTAAACATTGGTCCTGAAACCTGTAAAACTTGCGGTTTTTGTTTAAAACACAAAACAATAATGATAAATAACGCGAAAACAACGGAAACGCAGAGAGCGAATGAAAGATAATATTGACACTGACAGCTGACAACTGACAAGCGCTTCAAAACGTTTCGTTACACAAAAAAATCATAACTAATGATAGTAATCGTTTCTTTTATATTTTCGTGATTTCATTTGTAATTATTAATAAATAAATAAATATTATAAATAATTATACTTTGATATAATATTTTATGTTTAATGATATCTTTTTTACAGTTACTTACTTTTTTATTTTCATAGTTTCGTACAAGCGATGCGTATGATGGCGTTGAAAGTATAACAAAAAAATTAAATACGGTTTTGGTTATAGTAATCTTATTAATGATAAAATGAGTAAAATACCAATAATGTATCTTAAGGCTTACACTGCCAACAAAACCTGTTAAAGGCTAATCCTCTGCTACCGTCGACCATCATTGTCCGACACGGCGTCCAATGTGTTAAGCGATGTAGACTTCATAAAGTTTAGATGCCTGTACTAGGAAAGCGCTGTATAACAGACGAGGCCCTGTATCAAAGTAATTTTGAACATGCCCACAGAATGGACAGTTCACATGATATAAGTACAGTTCCCCAATCCCCGAATCCCCAACAATCCTTAATTTCTAATCCCAAAAGGTCGATAACGCACTTGTAACCTCTGGGGTTTCAGGTATTCATGGGCGCCGATTGCTTACCATCAGATGATCCGCCTACACGTTTCCCGTTTATACAAAAAAATCCGTTAGGAAAAAAAAATGTGCGCATTATTATTATAGATTTAAAAATCATTTTTTTTCTGACTGCCTCATTGGCCGAGTGGTCGCAAGTGCGACTGCCGGGCAAGGGGTCTCGGGTTTGATTCCCAGGTCGGGCGTAGCACGGAGTCTGGAAATGTGCCCGGTATATGGCAATAGGCTTACCCTCTATTACATGGGACTCATAACACAAATAGTGAGAAGTGGGTATTACATTGTGCAGTGGCATTAACCTCTTGACTGCCGGTATATAAGACACAATAGAAAATGCATTGTGTCTCGCGTAGATCTACGTTACGGCACACGACGGGTTAAGAGCCGTAATGTACACCTCTGCCTACCCCTTCGGGGATAAAAGGCGTGATGTTATAATATAGTGACGATGATCAAAAATCAACTGTTGTTTTTTTTTCTTCCCCTACTTAGTTACAAATTGAAACATTTATAGAGGTACATAAGAGTGAGACAGGAGATGCCTCCCTAAAATACGCAATTGTACCAACAATTAAATACGCAATTGTAGTTGTTGGTACAACTACTAGGTAATACCAATCAAAGCATGGGAATGACAAAACATGTATAGTAAGTAAAAACCATAAAGAGATATAGGTACCGTTTTTATTTTACAAAATAATGAAATTAATAAAACCATATCAACTTAAATAATAAATCAATAAATAAGCAGTCCAAGACTTAAGTATGTGTTAAACGTATCTTTGATATTATTTAACATTCATGTTGGTATCATGTACCTATTATACAATGAAAGTATACAGAAACAAACCTTGGCAATAAAATAAGAATAAGTAATCGATTTCCTGTTATTCACAAAAATGTACCTAAACTACTTTCAACTCTTTCAAGGATTGAAAGTAGTTTTATACGTACATTTATTTTTTGTATTAAATACTTTTTGGTCAGTCACTCTTCAATACTACTCTTTATTTTTTATTCGTTTCCTTATTTTCGACAATAACAAAATAAGTTATTTTGATACCATTTAAATTTTCTCGGAGAGTTACGTATTATTGAATTGAAACCTTAAACACATATGTAGTATAATTCAGAATTCTTTGTATAACAATTCATAATATTGTTTTTCAACAGTGTTTGTGACAATGTGGATACTTACTAGGTTTATTTAAACCTTTAGGAAAAGACAAAGAAATACGTATTTGCAGCAGCTTGAGAAAATGTTGTCCTTAATTTTAATTGACAAGATTTTAAATGTTATCTATTTTTATAACGATCACTTTAAGTCGTAGACAATAAAAAAGTCGTTAAAGTTCCAACTATAATAATGACTAATTTAAATAAATTACGCACAAGGCAGTTCGTATTTAATGAAGCATCTTTATATTAATTAATTTGAATAAATTAAAAAAAAAACGGCTCGACGATGTAAGTATTTATGTACGTGTGTATAAAATTGAAAATGGCACTACTAAACATTTGCTTAAACACTTTGGTCCAAATTATTTTATTTTATACTCTCAAAATACTCTACATAAAGTAGTTATTGCTTTGACATACTCACTATGTAGCTAAATTACAAAATAAATAAATTATAACTAAGTTATTTTCCTATAAAATTTACAGAGACTTCATTCGATTGGAATCATAAATTCGTAAATCGAGATTTATAATAAGATCTGATAGTCACGTAGCTGTTTTAAATTGGTGACTTTATAGATAGATTGATGAAACTTCAACCAAGACACATAATTATAAAAAAGTTAAAATTTATGCTTTTTTACAAGACAATTTATATCTGCATCTCTATTTTGTTCTGTGACACAATGTCTACAGATCAATTAAAATCTCGACTTATGACATTTTATTCGTCATTTCCCCCTATAAAAGTTATTTTATACTACCATCTAGTGTCGTTTAATCGGAGACTAGAACTGCCAAGAAATCCTTTTTATTTCTTGATGAAGGACCAGCTTTTCCACTTCGGAATGCTGCTGCGCCTACCCCCTTACTTCTGCCCACAAAATCGGGGAAAGGGAAGTTGGGGATGCCTCTGTGTCTAACATCCAACAGACCGTCGCCGAAATACTGAAATTTAGAACGAAAAGCAAATGATTAATTTATGTTAAGAACAAGTATATTTAATATACAGTTTCAATTTACATGCCGATTTAAAAATAAAGTCAAGGATACGCTAGGGGATAAGTGTGGGAGAGCCAAGCTTCGGCACAAATGGGCCGGCTCGACCGGAGAGATACCACGGCCTCACAGAAAACCGACGTGAAGCAACGCTTGCGTTGTATTTCATCATGTGAGTGAGGATACCGGAGGCCCAATTACCCTCCCCCAATCCCCGAATCCCCAACAATCCTCAAACTCCTAATACTCAAAAGGCTGGTAACGCACTTGTAACGTCTCCGGTGTTCCAGGTGTCCATGGGTGACGCCGATTGCTTATCATCAGATGATCTGACTGTTCGTTTACCGGCTTATGCTATAAAAAAGGGGATAAATGTCCTGCCACACGTGTCGCCAGCAACGTTGGATTAGGTAGCGCGTCGTAGACATGTCTGGCAACATCAACGTCACCGTGGACGCGTGTCGTGCTATATTGCACGACATTTGTCCCCTAATGTATCCATGGCTTAAAATACTTGAAGTTATTTTGTTAACTTAAACGAACTACGAATAGGAATAGAGCGTGCGAAAAGATATTTTTGAGATACTCTACTTACAGGTTGTTGTTGGAATCCATTTAAAGAGTTAAATCCAAAAGCAGAGGATGCACTCTGGCTTTGGCTTCCACCTCCGAAACCACCTCCAAAACCACCTCCAAGGGCCGAAGCTGATGAAGCAGCACCTGATGCTGACAGACCAGAACCGCTGAATGAAGCCGCTTGACTGCTTGCTTGACTGCCGCTAAAGCCACTGAAAGACAAAGAAAATATTTGATTTGAAAACCAAAGAAATGTCTCAAGAATACCGTTATTCATAATGTACCATAGTTTTTGTTATGATTAGACTTATATTAATATTTTTTGCTAGAATTCTTACTTTATCTGACTTTAGTTTTGAAATTGATTAGTTGATCACCAATTAACAAATGCATCGAATAATGAAAAACTTCTCTTGATTACTGTTAACAACAGATTAATATGAAACAGATACAGATACCTATTGTTTTTTTTTTATAGAATCTTGCCCCACACTAGGATTTTCTCCTGTATCGTGGGTGCGTTTACAAACATACAAGTTCACATACACATGACATCCACCTCGAAAAACAATCTGTGGATCACACAAAGAGTTGTTCCGTGCGGGAATCGAACCCGCGACACGTTGCGCGGCCGCCAGTTGCCCGACCACTGCGCCAACCGTGCAGTCAACATTTATCTCTTGCCTATCTTTTAACCAAACTCAGATCACTGAGTTACTTATCAACGCAATCAAATATCTATGACTAAATCTATAAAGAATTTATGACATACCTACTTACTATCAATATACTAATTGTGAATAGCAAACTTTTTGACAATACCTGCGAAGAACGTAATAAATCTCCGTCCATTCAACTTTTTTAGCACATTTTTTGAGTTGACAAACAGAGTCCTTTATGATAATGTAGTTTTTCATTTGTTTGGACATGCTGTAGGTCCGCATTCTTAACTCATCAAACGTTAATATAAAATGTAGGTAGGTATGTACAAAGTGCAACTGAAATATTGAGTCATATTCGGGAAGTCCAATTTCCTTAACCGGTGATCAATATTTGGGTCACCTTGATCAAGACTATCCGTCTACTATCTCCGGTTGAAATTTTACGTAACACAACAACTTACATTATTGCCTAAATGTAAATGATAATTATTGGCAATATAAATTGATTGATCCGAGTTAATGAGAATTCAGAATATTTAACATAACATAGCATAACATCACGCCTTTTTATCCCTGAAGAGGTAGGCAGAGGTGCACATTGCGACACTTAATGCCACTGTATAATGTAACACTCACTTTTCACTATTTATATTATGAGACCCATGTAATAGGGGGTGAGCCTATTGCCATATACCGGGCACATTTCCAGACTCCGTGCTACTACTGAGATTCTAAAATACCCAGTAATACTTTGCCCGACCCGGGAATTGGACCCGAGATCCCTTGCCCGGCAGTCGCACTTGCGATCACTCGGCCAACGAGGCAGTCTATAGGCAGAGAATATTTAACATTTGTTTTACAATTATTAGGCAAATATAAACATTATATTTATTTCTTCACACAAGTAATATTTTGAAAACTCAAAGAAAAGAATTTCTATGACAGCAAACTCTCAAAAATAGAGCGCAATATTAAAAATGTAAACAATAAGGTGACTGACCTTCCGAATCCATTGAACGACGACGCTTGGCTGGCGGAGTGCGATGCGCTGAACCCTTCATTGAACCCGAACGAAAACGACTGGGACGCGGACTGACTCGTACCCAAACCATTTGCACTGCTGCTAACACTCGCTGTCAGACCTCCAGTCCCTGAAGGAGCCACATTGAAACCTCCACCAAAGCCAAACCTTGGCTTAACTTGGCCAGGTCCCGCAGCTCGCCTCTCATGAGGCAGCAGAGTACTCGGATCACGCTCCAAATGTTCCAATACTGGCAGAACAGGCGGAGTGATCACAGGCTCCAATTTCTTTTCCTGTCTCCGATCATCCGGGAACACGAAACCGTCCGCCGGCGCCGGCAGGACGATCTTCAGCACAGAGGCGAAGCACAAACACGTGTAGATGAACCTCATGGCGTCTTCTGGTGACTACGTGGGATTGACGATGTATCTTATTTTAATAGGGTCGTACGAGGTCACCGCCGGTGTTGGCATGCGGCACGCGCCGCAGCCTTCAGAAAACCCACTGCGCTGCGCCCGAGACGACATCCTGCCAACTATCCATCCCCCCTCTACAGACTCATGCCCATAGAACACGTATTCCTTTTAAAATTAACGACTTGATTGTCTCCATCGCGTTTAGCGTCGACGGGAAAATTAGACGTCTAAAGTGCAGATGATGATTGGGAAATCCATGTGTCCTACTTTATTTGTACAGTTAAACAACCCAAGCACGTTTGCATTGTGTGGATAGCCGCGGAAGCAGATGAGCTAAAATGTTTTATTCTACTGCGCATTTTGTTATTTCGTTGTCTATTGGTTTTAATTCAGAGACATTTATAAAAACACAGACGAAAATCTAACGTTTTGAGTCCATTTATTATAGCAGACCTAATTGGTTGTAATTATATTAATAAAAGAATAAATTATCAATATTTATTATACGGAATGTCAGAGGTTACGCATAAAATGTTGAATTATTTAAAAAATTAAGCATTCATTCTTTCCTATAAAGAATATGCTAAAATGTAGCGGTACTTTGAAACGTGTCAAGAATGTATAATCTTTGTCAGCAATCAATATATTTCGGTAAACACTAAAGAATATTTAATATGAACTTAATCCTTATAATTTGGAAATATATACGTATACTAAATTGATTTGTGTAATACATAATACGAGAATACCTTCATAACAGTACATACATATTGCATCAACAGGTATTTATTCAATTCTCATCTCTGTCGGTAAAGATTGAAAGTCGAGTTACTGAGGACGTAACTAATACTAACATTAAATCAAACAAAAGGCAAACAGTTTATATAGAGAAAAACAAACTTTTCTACAAAAAATATACTTATTTATGAATTGGTTTCCAGAACTCTGAATAATAAATAGGATACGACTAGTACGTAGGGAAATGTCGAAAAATATACGATAAATAAATAAATTTCCCTTCCTTCTAAAGTTATTTTAATTATTAGTTTGTATACGTTATTTGTTGCAAGCTGGCCACTTTCAATAAGGGGAAACCTCTTTATGATATTCTTTTGTTTAAAAAATATATGTGTTTCTGACTAGCTTGTTTAATTCACACTATAAATAATATTTGCATTATATATTGAAAATATATGACAGTGGTTATCTTAAGTAGTATATATTTGGTAATAGTTAGTATTTATTTCATTTAAGTTTATATTATTCTTGTATATCCATTATTAGTCTATCGATTATTATGTTCTTTACCGATGTTCTGGCACCTCGTACATAGCGTTATTTACACCAAGACCTGTAAGTAAACGGCGAGTTATATTGTCATAAGTAGCAGTTAGCAGTTATAATGCAGATTACCCTATACTATCATTAAGTTTAGGGTTGGCAATATTTTCCATTGTAGAAAACAATGAAACCCTGTGTGGTATGGAGGAGTAGGAAGAACTGGCGATAAACATTTTTTGATATAAATCATTTGGAATGAAGTAATCAAAAATAAGGTTCGGCTCGTAGTTAAATATTTATATACATATGGAACCTTTTTTGCTAATTATCGTCGACGCCTTACTGTTAAAAGAGGTAACTCAAATATTGGCAAGCCGCACCAGGAGCTCATAGTCATGACTAGTGTTGCGGGACAACATAATTAATTTACAATAGGTCTCATGATAGCACAAAAACTGTAATTTTTAAGAATACCTTGTTTCCTAAAGCAAAATTGGACAGGTTCTGTTATATTTATCTATTTTATAATAATCGATGGTTTTACATTGCCAAATTCTACTAATGATGTTTAATAAATATTTTAATCGATTTAATTTTATAGATTACCTCAGAGAAATAACGGTTTTTGTTTCATTTATATTGATTCTTAATTAAGTTTGGAATCATATATTTTATAATTTAAAAAATCTCGTAAATCAAAATGTTTTCAATGGCTTTATGATTTTTTTTTATTTTCTATCCCAGCCAGCTAGCAGTTTTTGTTTGCCCCAATTGTAACAATTTCAAGATAAGGGATTTCAGCACTAGACAATTTAAAGGACCCGCACTGTCTTATATGTGTAGAAAGGCTACAATCCTATACGCAGTATATTCTATGGTTTATATATATATACTAGCTTTTACCCGCGGCTTCGCTCGCGTCACAAAAGGCTAAAAAGTAGCCTATGTGACATATGCCAATACATACAGCGCCATCTATACCAATACTTTTGTTTTCCCTCGGGAATACCAAATTTTTCCGGGATAAAAAGTACCCTATTATTTAATCCGGGCTTCTAACTTTACGTCTGCAAAAATTCAAAGCAATCGGTTTAGTAGCTACGGCGTGAAAGCGGAACAAACAAACAAACAAACTTACTTTCCGATTTATAATATTAGTAGGGATGGTAGTCATAGTCTATCTTCTCAAAACTGACGTCTTTTGAAGGTTCTCCTCAGTTATAAAACAAGGATTACGTGACAACCCTAGAAGTAGTGTTCCGAAGTGTAAGGTGAGTGTGAACAGGGCCGGGGTCACACGTCCTGTGTCACGGTCGGCGATCATGCACATTATCGCCTATATACATACGTACATGTCGATCTCATTGTCGATTTATCGCTGGTCAAGTTGAGTAAAGAAAATTAATGTCAATTTCCTTGGAGATAGGGTGGTAATTTCAATGGTTTCTGGTTTTAATTATTATAGTGGTAGATATGTTCCCTGTAATAAAATCATTAATGTCTCTTTCAATATTTCTTATTTACAAAAAAAGTGCGTGTCTGACTCGCCATAAATTCGAATTATTAAAATCTGTCTATTGACATACAGATAGAATTTTATGAAGTACTGCCTCTTTGGCTGAGTAGTCGAACGGGTAACCGGGGCTCCGGCTCGACGTGCAGGAGAAGGAACGGGGTGGTTTTTAGTCAGTAAGAGTCTGACACTCCCTCCCGCCTCACCCAGGCGGGAGCAGTCATTCGATGATTTTCCCCCCTAAAAAAAAAAGTGCGACTGCTGGGCTCGAGTTCGATTCCCGGGTCGGGCAAAGTATAACTAAGTTTATAAAAAAAACTCAGCAGTAGCACGGAATATGGGAGTGTGCCCAGTATTTAGCAATAGGCTCACCCCCTATTGCATGGGACTCATAACATACCTAATAGTGAAAAGTGGGTGGTACATTGTACAGTGGCATTTAAGTGCCGTATGTGAACCTCTGCCGTCTACTCATTTGGGGATAAAACGCGTGATGTTATGTCATGTTATACAATATTATAAAAGAAACTTTAAATCAATTGGAAAGTAAGTACTTAATCAATCGTAACTGCTTCAGTACTTTTCTGTTACAAAATAAAATTATTCTTCATAGGTTAATCTACGTCACACCTAGGTACATAGACCCGGAACAAATCTTTGACTGGAATTGAATGAAAGAATCATTCAATGATTGGTATTCTATTTAATTATTTACGAACTCACTTGTCATTTCCCATGACGTCGAAGTTGTGTGAATAGACAAAACCTTAGTTTTTTTTTTAACTAAACATCAACGATTGTTGTTGCGTATACCTGTTTGTATTGGATTTTACATTTTTTTAAAGCTCTATCTACAAGATAGTGATGTGATTGTCAAGACAAGTCACTTTTAGGCTGTTCACTTTTATGACATCATGAAATATCGTATTATTCGTATTATTATTTAGATTTCGTTTATTTGCATTGAATAAAAACAGTAATTAACGTAAGTTAACAAAGATCGCAGGTTACTCACGTAAATTTACTGACAAAAGCTCTACTAGTTTCGAACCATAGAGACCCCTCTATGGTCTTCCTCATGAGCAGCGAGCGCGATCGCAGCGATGTCGCGCAGCTCACTGATTTTAGTTGATTTAGTATGTCTCACGATAGTTATTATAAAAAGTAATTAACGTATCTTATATTACCATGCATATGACTGCCTCGTTGGCCGAGTGGTCGAAAGTGCGACTGCCAGGCATAGGGTCTCGGGTTCGATTCCCGGGTCGAGCAAAGTATTACTGGGTTTTTAAAAATCTCAGTAGTAGCACGGAGTCTAGATATGGCAATAGGCTCACCCCCTATTACATGGGCCTCATAACATAAATAGTGAAAAGTGGGTGTTACATTGTACAGTGGCATTATGTGCTACATTGCACCAAAATCGCATTTATGGAAATTTTTATTTCTTTGGTCAATTTCAACTCTAATTATCATGTAAACTATACAAAAATACAATATAGACAATGCAAGTTATTAAATATTTTTCAAATAAACGATATTCTTATGAGTCATTACGAATGTTATTGTAAGTTAATCGTTGTGAAAGGCGTCCTGAGTTCTCAATGAGTCACCACAGATGATATCAGAGTTACAACAGCTTTGTACTCTACTTTATATTTCGAACTTAAAACTGAGAACGAGATTGGCCAGTTAGAATATACCTATGACATAACTAGACTACATTTGTAAGCTAGAGAGAAGGATTAAAAAAAATATAAGAATGTACAGTACACACACGACCAGCCAACTACATTGAAAATGAAATTAAAATGTAAATGAAAAATCCTATAATAAAGTAATTTATAAATATATTGGGCGATCGTGTTTAGGGACTTCTTTTAGGCAAGATGTGCCTGTGTTAGGAGACCCCGCTCTTCCATAGCAATTTTTTTACAAAATTAACAATAACAGAGCGTTTACAATATATTTAATAATATACATAACATCACGCCTTTTATCCCCAAAGGGGTAGGGAGAGGTGCACATTACGTCACTTAACTTGTTGAGTACCGTCATTATAGACACAATTATAGAACAATAGGTTGCGGTCACCGGTGACCGCTTGGTGTTTGACAGTTTAATACCACTGTTAAATGTAACACCCACTTTACACTATTTATGTTATGAGTCCCATGTAACAGGGGTGAGCCTATTGCCATATAAAAACATGTATTAATAAAAATTAATAAAAGTCTTTTAATATTATTAAAAGCCTAAAGGAAAAAATAAAAAAAGTAGAATTACCTACTTTTGGGATACACTGACAGGTGATGATAGTCGCCATTGGCATGGATTTAGTGAGGTACAAAACCACACACCCTAGTTTTTATTCCCAAAAAAGCTAGGTACCTTTAGTGGTTTCCCCCCGCCACCATAAAAAGGGAGGAATGTAAGATGGAGCCAAAAGGCAAAACACTGAAAGGTAAAAATACACTAGTCATTTAAAACATCAGCCCATCTTAATTTTGTGTATCAATTTGAGTAACATAACATAACATCACGCCTTTTATCCCCGATGGGGTAAGCAGAGTACATTACGGCACTTAATGCCACCGTACAACGTAACACCCACTTTACACTATTTATGTTATGAGTCCCATGTAACAGGGGTGAGCCTATTGCCATACATCGGGCACAACGCCTGACTCCGTGCTACTACTGAGAATTTTATAAAACCTAGTAATACTTTGTCGCACCCGAGACCCCTTGCTTGCGACCACTTGGCCAACGACGCAAACAATTATTCAGTAATCCTTACTAATATTATAAATGGGAAAGTGAGTTTGTTTGTTTGTTTGTTCCACTTTCACGCCGTAACTACTAAACCGATTGCTTTGAAATTTTGCAGACGTAAAGTTAGAAGTCTGGATTAAATAATAGGGTACTTTTTATCCCGGAAAAAATGTATATTATCGAGGGAAAACGAAATTATGGGTATAGATGGCGCTGTGTGTATTGGTATATGTCACATAGGCTACTTTTTATCCTTTTGTGACGCGAGTGAAGCCGCGGGTAAAAGCTAGTTCACAAATAAAGTATTTCAAACAGTAGTTTGTTATTTTAGAGGTCATATACGGTGTTTGACATTAAGTTTACCATACATTTTAATGTACCATGCAACTAATTTTATCATGTACTTACTTAATAACATATAAATATTTACATTGTAACTATGTACGTATTGAAAACTACATATTACAAAATAAAGTAAATTACAATTAAGTGTTTATGACTTTCCCGTATTATCAGAACAATGTACCAATTCATATAATTCTGTTTGTTTCCCAAACGTAAATTTTTAGTTGAGGTAGACTACGCGGTTGGTGGAGTGCTTACTAGGGCCACTGTCGAACAAAATGCCACGTGCAATTGCTATGTCAAGATGTTACAAATATTATGTTCAGGTAATAAAATCATAGTCTCTTCTGTAGTCCAATCAGTAGTGCTGTTTGGTTTATAATTTATAATGCTAACTGGTTTGTTAATTATAAAAGTTCTATGAACTTCATTATTTAATTATGTAGTTTAACTGGGTCTACTGGTCTTTTGACTGGTGAACTGGTTTAGGGCAGTACCTATAGCTACCCAATATAAGTAGTTACTTAAATTAAGTGATTAGCTTGAGGGACATCCTTGGGACAGTTAAATCATTAATATTAAAATCAGAATTTTTTTGTAGGTGTGTGATGACGTAACGTTACATTATCGGTTGAATTTGGCGTAGATGCGTAATTTCACAACAATCCGTCGTGTGCGCATCAGTTAGCAATGACATTGAACGTGTTGCCCAATGTGTGTGTGGACGAGCTGTGAATACATGATTGAACTAAATGTAAGGGAGTACTTCAAAGTACACTGATTAGTAATTTTAAGATTCAGGATGGATTGTAACTTCTTAATAAATGAATTAAGTTAAGTATACAATTGGAATGAACCATTAAGACTGGTAAAAATTTAGTGCTTCATTTAATATGCACTATTATGCACTCTTTTGAGCCAAAATCTCGTCACTAGAGCTTGCTCAAAACACGGAAATTTCAAACTTATTTACATTTACAGAAAATACAAATTTCTCAATATTTTCCTTTAGTTTCTTGTTGTAATGCTAAGCTCAGCTCTCGGGTGCTCTGAAGCAATGACTCGATCATGCCTTGTGGTTTCCCAACGGCTTATGCATGCATACAAATACACATACAAGAGAATGTTGAGATATTTGTCTTAATACTTAACACGGCAACTGAGTGAACTGTTTTGTAAAAGAAAATTTCGTAAATATCATTTGGCAAGATGGTTTTGTATTTAAGTCTTTATTCTGCATGACTAAATCCTGCTATTGGCAAGCCTAAGGTGCATAGACCAAAGTGATATTTCATAAAGTATTCGTGTTAAACTCAAAATATAGTTAATCATACTCATAATACTTTTTTAAAACCCAACGACGCACTTATGACTCCTCTGGTGTCGTGGGTATCCTTAAGCGACTGTGATCTTACCATCAAGTGATCAATGGGCTCGTTTTCTTCTCGAGGGTTTCGATTTCTCTACACTGATTCATTTAGCGTCATTCCAACTTGAATGTCAATAAAAAAACAAAACAAACATTCCATTGATTCTTATGTTACGCCATCGAACCCGGACCTCATCTCTGCGTAGGAACGATGACGAGACTAACACAATCAGCCTTTTTCGGATTGTAGGTCAACATACTTAGGGGTCAAGTTTACCAATATGTTATTATGTAAGTGTGTTCGTAATTTACATAAATCTTCATTTTTCATTTTTTGAAATTATTAAAAAGCAGCTTGTTCTTTTTGTCGAGGCCGAATAAAGTACATAATATACGTCGTTTTTGATTTTTCTTAAATATCAACTCTGTGTCTGGAACTCTTTTATATATTTATTTATTTAATTACATAGGATCTCAAACAAAGATGTCCATACACAACATAGGTAACTCTCTGACTTGTAATACTATAACATGTTGCACTCTCATGAAGAAACTACAGAAACACAATTAGACTTTCCATCCAGTAGCCATTTTGAATTGCTAATTACTCACCTTTATAGATCCTTCTCTAACTTATCTACTATGTCTTTCTAACCGTAGTTACATCCGCTTCTAATATAGGTTTGATACAGAAGAGATATGAGAACTAGTTAGATTTGACGTCATAATCCACGTCCATGACCCGGAATGTCGACCACATCTGTCAACGACCTCAGGAATTAAAACACAGTGACGGACTTGGAGACACGAACTTCTCATGAATATTTTATTGAAGTTTTTTATTAATATTTTATAGTTAATTTCATTTAATAGATTCTATGTATAATATCATTGATTTTACAATGTTTATTTCAATTTCAATTTACACATGAAATAATTACTTGTGTATTTGCATAACGCATGCAAGGAAAACGATATGTAATTTCGTGCGCGTCAGGTGTGTGTTCTGTGTTAGTATAAACTGTATTACAGACTGAATATGCAAAAATAACAATGAAAGTATACTATGTTATCTTCTTTGTGAGTTGACAACGGAAGCTAAAAGTGTTCAATTTTCTAAAACGACGTTTCTAGTTTCTTCAAGAAATCATAATCTATGTACCTTTTTTTATCATGTTAAAGTTCTGTGATTTCCTTGTAATTATCGAAATTAAGACAAAAATGTATCGGAGCGGACAACTCAACTAAAAAATTTATGAATATCCTTTATAAGTACAACACATATATTGATCTATCTCCTTGCATGTACATTGTGACTATGACGGATTAATAAATATGTTATATTTAAAATCCGCTCCTGTGTTGTATGATGAAAATGCTAGAAGAACCGCAGCCATTGTTTGTAAGATGTAGATAGAAACAGGAACCTATTAAAATGTAATAGTCAGCAGTTTGTCAAACTACATTCATATGTTAAGGATCTATGACTATGACTAACGGAACTAGACTAAACTCAAGGATCTTTTGTATTGTAAGAGAAAAAATAGAGTAAATACATGCGCGTATTGGCTACAAATGCACAGGTAGGATATTTTATATCCCAAAGCTTAAATTTTTGTAGTTTTCGAGATTATTTTCACCGCTGGAATTCTGCTCTGCAAATTCCAAAAACTCGCTTATAATACAGGATTCATCACTTCATTCGTGATAAATAGATGTTTCACGCACATTCCTCTATGGAATATAGATGTGATGGCACATTATAAATACTAATAAGCTTTGAACATGTAACCTGGTTCGTTTTAATCAAAAGTCTTAACAGCTAATCTTGCAGTGATACACATTGCGGTGCCGTGACGTCATTATGATATAACACATGTTGCAACATGGAAAGCGTTTAAGCAAGGATGCATCGAGTGACGTCACAGATGTGGGCAGCCAGCCTACGTGGTCAATGCGGATGTGTGCATACATTTCGTCCCAAATTACGGTAAACTATGTTGCGCCTGCTTTACGTAAGACAAGACATTCTTATGACCAAACTGTTCAGTTTAGCGATAAATATCTCTGTTAAATTACGATAGTATTGTATCTGCTTACTACATAAGTGAACTCTGGGCAAAATTTCATCAAAATGCATTAAATCTTTTTAGGATGATTGAGTAACAACCAAAAAACTATTATAGTTTTTTTTTGTCGCACCCCACAGGGACCAGCATAACGTATGTTAAGAAGCATATAAACTGAACACGAACGAAACAACGAGACGAAAATATTACAACAACATTACATAGAAACTTCTACAAAAAATATACCAAAGAAAATCATAGGATTTTCCCCACACAAATAGCTACATGAACGGAAACATTATTATATGACTTTATCAGTTTTGTTTTCCACGAAAACTGTACGGTTAATGTACGTACAAGTTAGATTTAATGTGTTCATTAAATACCATGTTTTGTTCTACCGACTTGGGAGAAATAACTTGGATTTTTATTACTCATATTTCTTTGAGATTGTGAAGTTTACGCCCGTCTCGATTGCTACAAAAGGTGAGTAAAGTAACGATTAATAAGTAATAAGTAATGGACACATTGTTGACGGTGGATTCATGACCAATGTAACGTTTTATTGGTCATAAACATAGTCACGTTGTAATCATAAACTTGTCGTAGCATACTCAGCACTGATCTTATCATCCCTCTTAAATGTTCGTTGGCACACAAACCATTCAATTTTAATCACACATTGACGTATTTGTTTAGTAAAGTAATTTAAAGTTTATAGAAACCGTTCAATGGTTGTATCTGTTTGGATTTTTTATATAAGACTTCGAAATAGGACAAATGAAGCAGACAGCTATTTACTATTTAGTGTGATGTAATGAATATTGAGTGCAAACAAGGTAAGTCGTGTGTTTTATAATGTTTTTGATCATAAATACAAATAGGGAATGTTGTTATGTTAGTGAATTCGTTGAGTATTCTCCTAGCGAGTTTATAAGGTATTGATACACCCACATATCGAGTAGGTATTAGATAATAATATTTAGTTAATTATTTTCTCATCTTAACTTTATTAATTTCTCAATTTTATAAAAATATTAAATTGTATGGCTTATAAATCTAGCTGTTCTACGAAGTAACTCGATCAGTTACAAGCTGCGCCTGGGGCCCATAGTCACAAGCAGCATGCACAATGACAGAAGCGGTTGTAGTCCGTTACGGGTGTCCATGGGCGGCGGTGATCGCTTACCATCAGGTGATCCGTCTGCTCATTTACCTCCTATTCCATGAAAAAAGTCGCTCAGCCTACTAATATAAATCATACAAAAAAGGATAATAGAAGTCAGGAATTCAGTTGTGAAAGTGATAATACATATTTACGAAACCTATACCTAACAGAGAGAATACTGTTACTTAAGGTACGAATAGACGACGACTGTGCCAATTACACATATATGGGATTTTTGTGTCTAGTATCTAAGTTGTAAGTAGTGTATGGAATTTATATCCGAGCAGTTCACATATGTACATTGTACAAATCTTTTTATGGAATAGGAGGCAAACGAGGAGACGAATCATCTGATGGTAAGCGATCAGCGCCGCCCATAGACACTCGCAACACCAGAGGAGTCACAGGAGCGTAGACGGCTTTTTAAACAGGAATACGCTCTTTTCTTAAAGGTTTGAAGGTAGCATCGGTTCGGAAATACCGCCGACGAAAGATCTGCACAGTTTTGCTGTACGAGGCAGAGAGCTAGGTAACATACAATAGTGAATCTCGGTCTGCATGGAACAACGTATACACTAAAACGAGGTGTTGTGTGTATTAATAAATTTCAACTAAACTAGACACTTGGACAAAACGTGTTCACCCACAGGGTGAACACGTTAGTGTCGCGACAGCCACAGGGCTGTCGCGACACTTATTACCGTGTCACAATAAATTTTCCAATAGGGTAGATGCCAAATTATTATTTTAATGTCCGTCTGGTAGATTATTTTAAATCAGTACCTATACACGTACTTTGTATTTTCTTACACAAACGAATACTTTCGACGATATATTGATTTGAAATGTCACGTGACGTCACTTCTATGTACATTTTATACGTAGAAATGACGTTTTAGCCCCCACTCCTAAACTTTGATTTGTTTTATCTAAATATTATTTTATTATACAACAAAAAAAAATACGTGTCTCATATTTTTTCATTACATAGCTGACGGACTAATTAGATTTTTAATTTTCATACCCTGTCATCATCCCAATTGCAGACACTCGTGTCAATACAGAAATATTCGATGTGATTACACTAAGTGTACGATATCGTCGTCTATTCGTACCTTTAATCGAATTCCTTTCTTCGTGAAGATAAGACTTCAAAAATCCAAATTCCAACTTCTGTCCCGTATCAAATCAGCAATTATAATATTTTCAAGCATGTAATAAAACCAATTATAATTCAGTTTACAATAGTGGGGAACCTTTAGTCACACATGGTCTGACTATGCGCCATTTTTTTACTTGTAGACATTTAAAATTGAAAATGGACCTGGCCATTCTTAACACGTTAAACGCCTTGTGGGTCATCGCTGACCGACGTTAACGAAGGATTTGCCTTTAACAATTTTGTATTAAGATACAAAATTTTGTTGTTGCACTGTTGTACCTCCTTCACCTTCTACCTGATAAACATACGTAACAGACATTTGATACAAAATAATTTATAATTTATGTGCTACATAGCAGCTATCTAGATATAGTGAAACAGGCGCTTAATAGAAAAAAATATATAAAAGGGAGAATCGCGTAAAGTGTTGAAAGTTGAAACCAACTAAACTAATCGAATTTATATATTAAGCTAGTTCTGTTATTAATTTCGTTAGGATACTTATTACTTATTCTAGACTACAACCCACTTCATTGCCAATTTCATCTAGATCCGTGCAGCCGTTTTAATATCATTTAGTAATAAACATCAATCCATAACATAACGTCACGCGTTTTATCCCCGAAGCGTTAGGTAGAGGTACACATTACGACCCTTAATGCTACTGTACGACGTAACACCTACTTTTTACAATTTATGTAATGAGTACCTTGTTCCAAAAAACCCCAATAACATTTTGCCCGACCCAGGAATCGAACCCGAGGACTCTTGCCCGGCAGTCGCACTATAAATAATAAACTATAATAATATATACATTCAGATTTTTATATGTTTCAGCCACTAAACAGCAACAATAACATAGTATAAAGAGTCTACATTGAAGTATTTACACAGCTTGGCCTACGAACAACAAATAACAAACGATTCAAATAACTAACTACAAGGAGTTTAGTAGTTCACGATAACTTGGTTAAACGTATTGTTGTGAATATTAAAACAGTTTAAATATAATATTGGCTGCACAATGGGACTTTCAACGTTCATGTTGACCGCCTTCTTAGTCGTTATGACTAGTGGTAAGTTTTAGAATTACAAATAATTATACATTTGTCGATAGAATGAACAATGAACGGGAATCACTAATTAGAAAATATCATACATACCTATATACAGCAACAGTCTATAATTGGCCACTGCTAACCAAAGGCCTCTTCACAAACGGAGGTTTAAGCGTTAATCACCATGCTTGCTCAATGCGGGTTGGTGATTTCAACCTTATAATGATATTTATTGCAATTTCAATATGTTAAAACTTTACAGTGTTTGTTATCTATACTTTTGGTGTTCGTAAATAATCTTTATTTACAAATAATTGATAATTTGGAACTATAAGCCCAGGTCTCCTCACGATGTTTTCCTTCACCGTTTGTCAGTGCTGTCTAAATAATCTTAGAAAGTATATACATATATGCAGGTTAGGTAAGTTTCGAACTCGCACCGTCATGCATGAGAAGCGAGCGTCTTAAATAAAGGCATCCGGTCGTCCGAATTCAAGTTGTCCAGCGTTTGTCCTGTATTTATCTTGATTGTATTAAACATGAACTTGACTGTCATACTCACATGTTAATATCTCGAAACCTTCATAAGGCGCCTAGCTTTTTAGGGAGAAAGACTAGGGAGTGTGGATTCGCACCTCACTAAAACCACCCCGGTGGCCACCCTCAGCATCTGTAACCTGGCACCAGGTCCTCTGAAGAGACCTCCTCCAGAAATATCTCGAAACCTAACTGTTTTTGACAACTTAATATGAAAATAGCGGTTCCATTCTTTATAATATAATGTTCTAGTTCATAAGTAATTTTTAACTATAAAATATTAATATTGAACTTTATTTCCATCGGAACAGGATTTAATTATGGCCACTTCTTTTTAGCTGGCTGGCCAGGATGGCCCACAGGAGACAATCCTTTTGCAGGGTGAGTAGCGACTTTGACTACAGAGTTGTCTACATCCTACTAGGTACGACAAACAGTGGGTCCCTTCAAGTCTGCAGATATTAAAAACAAAGTCACAATCTTCATCGGTAATTCAGAAATTGCGAGGTGTAAATGAACAAATTCAAATTTCGATCTAATTTATTTCTACTAGATTTATATTAATTTGCGATGAATTATATTCCAGAATTTGATGGTCGAAGTATTGAATTAACTTCAGTTATACCTTGTACGCACATGCTCTTTTAACTCATTAATTTTCTTATGACTGTTTCAGATACCATTCACCTATGGTAAGAACATTAAAAATATTATTATTAATATTAAAAACATAACATTGATACTACTCTACAAGTATACACATGTGGCATAATAGTATAATTCCACCATTTACGAACGGTGCGTGGTGCCACGCTGACGACATCGAAAATACGTGCTGAAAAGTGCTCTTATTTAGATTCCATAGTCAGAAAGCCCCGCTCAGCGGGGCTCCATCAACCTGACTACAATATTTGCCTTTCGCATAATAACATCTAGCATTTTTTTGTTAACTACGCTGTAAACAGCGGAATTATACTATTTACCAGCAATAGGTACAATAAATTTAACAAAAAATAGTTCGTCTTTGTAATTATTTCCAGCTGACTTCATTACGTTTCGGTCCAATCTCAATGCCGAATCCTGGCATTCCAAAGTTCCCCACGATCCCATCACCAACGTTCCTATTTCCTTTCCCAACTATGCCAACATTCCAATCTATACAAGATATGGTAAAAACAATGCCAAACAAGGGCTCTTACTCTGGCGTGGTAGTGAGCACCCAGACAGAATCGAAAATGAAAGATGATGGTACTCTGGTCAAAAAGGGCGGTTCTACTATTTTGATCAACGACGACGGAAAAGTTACGGTGCATACCAGTAAGTTTCGTTTACTTAATAATTATTCTTAGGGTTGAATTTCCCAACGCCAGGTAAATTTTAACTGAAGAATAACTTTCAATATCTGGCAATTCTTAAATACTGAATACTATAAAATGTCAATTTTATTCTATAGTTAGGAATTAACTGACGATTCAAAAATCGACTCTCATTGTACCTAATAATGCGACTTAGATGAAAAAGTAACAGCAAGAACAAAAAATGATCAAGGACTACGAAACTTGAAACAGAACGTCCCAATACGCTACGCAACGTGCTACGACACTCGTAGCACCGTAGCACTGCGCTACGAAATTTTAAACTTACTTGTTTTTATTAATATGGGGAATAATAAATGATTGTCATATAATTAAAAATATCAATTTGCAGCTGGAAACAACCCACCCGACTTAAACCAGATAAAGTAAGTTTTTGAAAAAACCTTCGTACATAGAATGTGCGTTTATGACCGTTATAAACTTGTATACATACATTTTAATACTTTTATTTTGTTACAGCGAGAAAGTGGTAAGCAGTAGTTAGCAGGAACTATGTAAAACATAACATTACATTACATACAATATTTTACATACAACACTAATTATACAATTTGTTAAACACAGGCCGACGACAATAACACTACATCAACAGGTGAATACTGAAAACATAAAAATACCTCCCTCCTATTTTCCTTTTAAACAAAGACGAACTTCTCTCTTTCTATCTCTATTTCTATTTCAACATACACACCTCACTGTCTCACTCGCACTACTATTTTTTAATGTGTAGAATTATTTTCGTATTGAAATATTTAATCAACATTACTATTTATCTTTTTCAGAAATATAACTTCCCCCCGTATAAGGTATTTATAAATTATTAAATTATTTTTGTTTTCTTTTATAATGTCACATAATACCTCTACATTATACATTGTACTCCTTGACGAAAATCTCATAATACAAGTATCTGTATACGTATTAAAAAAATATTGGGCTAAACAACGCTATTTATTGAGTAAACTGCAGCTGTAGCCAAATGCCATTTAGCGCTTATCTACTTGTAGAGTAGAAATCTAAAATCTATGGGATTGACGTAAATTTTGACACTTCTCAGTGTCATCCCCATACATTTAGTTTTCTATTCTCTCGGTAGACAAGCGCTAAAGTAGCGTTCACTAAAGGTACTGGTGTTAAAAGTGCCTGTCATAGTATTATGTTGTTTATTTTGCAGAATATCGCGCTAGGTGTTTGTAGGTAAATCAAAATTACAAATTACGATCATTCTTTTTCGGCTTGTAATATATTAAAAACTTTATGGTTGTTATGTTTTTATAATAACTATCGTGAGACATACTAAATTAAGTAAAAACGCGGGTTACTCACGTGAATATATTGAGAAAAGCTCAGTGAGCTGCGTGACGTCGCCGCGACCGCGCACGTTGCTCATGAGGAAGAACCCCTCTGTGGTTCGAAACTAGTAGAGCTTTTCTCAGTATATTCACGTGAGAAACCCGCGTTTTTACTTAATTTATGGTTGTTTTTTTTTAATTGTTTCTTCACTCTTCGGTTTTTGAAGACGACTAATAACTGGTTGTGTGACACGTGGTTTTATTTGCGATAGCACCAATTTTCTGGTTGAAATTAAAAAAAATGTGTGTTTAATTATAACTTGCGTCCTAAACAATACACACACTTCACTCGCACTTTATACATAACTGCTTCAAAGTCACATTTTTTCTATTTGTAATTTGTTTAAGAAATTGTGTTATAAATACTGCAAAATTCCATTAACAATGGCTCTTTTCTCATTGGATGGTTTTCTGGCTTTATTGATTTTGGTTTTCTTATTTCGGAACCTTTAAGACGAGCTGATAGCTATGTGTGTTGATCTGTGTCGTATTATTTGATCATAAAGTTTAAATTAACAATGACAATCCAACCACACAACTCTTGGCATACTCCTCACACTTCACTTTACTCTTGGCCATACCCTTTAAAATTTTAATTGCAGTAAGTGAGATCAGGGCTATTCGTCACAAAGGTCATATAACAACTTCTTGATAGTGACAAACGACCACCGAGACAAGCCCGGTCTCCCCTAACGCAAATTATAACATTATTTATTTTCTATTTTTCTTTCACAGTTTAGGCCAATTAGACCATTTAAGTTGAAGAACGTGTTCGATAGTTTTGAAAACTTCCAAAATTTCGACGATTTTCCCAAATTTCCCGAAATAAAGCCGATTGACTTTGATATTATCAAGACTTATCAGCCTGGAAACGGGGAGAACTTCCGAGGTCATTCCATCATCAGCAACTCATACTCGACTAATAACAATGGCCAGGTATCACAAGGAGGCCACATAGCAGTCGTACAAAATGATAACGGACAAGTAAAAGAAGAAAAGATAGTTTTTTGAAAAAAAGAATAATTACGAAAATTTTGTACTCATCATATTTCTATGTTTCATTGTTAATTCAGCTTTATTTCTGAAGAATCAAGTTGTTTTTTGAGTAATCATGTTTTGTTCTTTTCTTTATTAAATTTTTAAAGCGATCATGTCTTGTCACCAGCTTTTTTAAAAAACTATTTAAAAAAGCTGGTTTTTCAATTTATATAATTTTTTTATTCAATTTACTAGCAACATGTAATTTTAGTAAAATTACAATTAACCATTTGTTATTATTAATAATTCATAATCATTACTTGTTTCATCCAATAAATTAACGTAGAAACTTATTCAAATTAATATATTTTTAAGTTTTGTATATGAATTTAATCCTTTTAGAATTATTAATTTTACTTATTATGAAAATAAATATTTGGAAACGTTCTTGTGTGCCTTTCATTTTCTGGATGCATCAATGCATGTAAATTAAATTATAGTCAAAAGTATTTGCCCCTAACATTACAAGAAGCCATACAATGAGAAGCCAATGTATTGTCATCATCAAATATAACTCAAAACACTATTCTTCTACTAAAAAAATGAGAATGAGTAAAACAAGGTATGTCTTTACATTATTCTCACATGTATGTACAATATCGGAATATGTATCAGAGCAATGTAAAGCAGACTTTTTTTAAAAAGAGTAACGAATGGAGTTTCTTGCTCGTTCTTCTCCACTCGAATCGACATTTTGGAACGAGCGCCTAGCTTCACTGGCGAACAGACTATACCTCTATATATCATATTTGTTGAAGTTTCAAAAGTATCAAATTATGGTTTAATTGAAATAAATGCCTTCGAGTTTGAGTTTAAACAATGTATAACTATATAACTAGATACTCAGTTCCTCAACCATTTAAAACTTAGCCTCTTGTCTATTATAAGTTGCGGCCATATTGTGTTTTATACCGGGAGCCGGTGTTTCAACAGATAAGAAGTTAGGAAATATTATAGGTATATAGACACAAACAGATTTATCTGAATTTAATAATATAGGCAAGTGTAGTGACCATTATTAACTATTTTGCGCCTTATCACTTTTCAATAGCAAAACGTAAAAATACTGTTTCAACCGACAAAAAATATATCTAGCAGAATACTGCTACGGAATACTGTAAGGTTCTATTTGCATCCATTTTTATATCATTTTTATTAAGCATTTCAATTGTATGTTAAAACAAACAAGATCCACAGATGCTCAGATTAACTGATTCTCTGTTAGACTATTGGACTTCTTCTGCATAAGAGGATAATCTCCAGTTTTGGCAAGGGGAAGAAATCACAGCTTAAGTTCAGGGAGCTTACTCGTGATACCAATTCTGATTGATCGACATTCGTATTGTGAATTTAGTACTCTCGAGGTGCAATACTAACGCCCATTACATCCGTATTGCGTGGATATTGAATGAAGTAAATGGTATTAAGTTTGGCTTTGTGTTCGGTACTCTGAATACTATTTTAACACGATAGGGGTTGTATAGTTTTGACATTGATCATTGAGATTTTATTGGATTGAAATTGTATTGACATTGAGATTGGTTTAAGAGTTTTTTTTTTAAGGGGGGAAAATCATCGAATGACTGCTCCCGCCTGGGTGAGGCGGGAGGGAGTCTCAGACTCTTACTGACTAAAAATCACCCCGTCCCTTCTCCTGCACGTCGAGCCGGAGCCCCGGTTACCCGTTAGGTTCTCCGCGACATTGGTTTAAGAGTAAGCACCCAGGTTTTTCAAAGAGTGCTGCTACCTAATGCCCAGGATTTCTTAGGACGCTCGTGTAGTAAAAATAGAGGTAGAACACATTATTTCAATTTGCCGTAACAGAACGATCATAATATATAATATTACATAATAATTAATTATACCATGGCTAAAAACTTAAGACTGGCTCGTTGGTCAAGTAGTCGCAAGTGCAACTGCCGGGCAAGAGGTCTCGAATTCGATTCCCGGGTCGGGCAAAGTACAACTGAGTTTTTTTTTTTAATCTTTAGTATTAGGACGGAATCTGGAATTGTGACCGGTATATAGCAATCGGCTCACCCCCTATTATACGGGAGTCAAAACATATACACTGTTACGAAATATGAAATGCCTCCGAACTGTTAGTTAGAAAGCGAACGAGTGCAACAGGACTATTGGCACTTGTATGCAAGTTCGACATCGACACTATCGCTATTGGAACAATTGTAATAGATAAGAAACAAAACACATTATATATATTTAAAAAGAAAGGGTGTTACATTGTACAGTGGCATTAAGTGCCGTATTGTACACCTCTGCCTACCCCTTCAGGGGTAAAGGCGTGATGTTATGTTTAAATTTAAAACCTAACTAAACCCTAGGCCTTGTGCTCTGCAGTCATAATCTCAAGGACTCAACTAAAGCACTGTCATTGAAGTAGTTAAAAACTCTTTAAAATAATGCGCTAGTACCTGCTCAAAGAATGATATTGTCCCAAGTACAGCCTAAAGTTTCCATGAAACAACAACAAGGCAGTAATGTTTCAAATTCTAAGAAAACAAAGGGAAATTCATTCATCATTATGTTGATTAGTTCAAAGCATTCATCCTGTTATACATATTGTAATTAAAGTCGTTATTATACATATATTTTAAACTGATGATCATTAACAAAAATCTTTCAAAGTTTGCTTTGTATAGAAGAGTAGCTTGGGCACTTTTGACACAGATAAGGAAACATTTTCTTAGCATGAGATCGATCGAACATTTAAGCCTTTGACTAACGAGAGACTGCCTCGTTGGCCGAGTGGTCGCAAGTGCGACGGCCGGGCAAGGGGTCTCGGGTACGATTCCCGGGTCGGGCAAAGTATTACTGGGTTTTAAATAAATTCTCAGTAGTCTGGAATTGTGCCCGGTAAATGGTAATAGGCTCACCCCCTATTACATGGAACTCATAACATAAATAGCGACAAGTGGGTGTTACATTGTGCAGTTGCATTTTGTGCACCTCTGCCACCCCTTCGGGGATAAAAGGCGTGATGTTATGTTATGTTACTACCGAGAGAAAACTGTTGAGGGTAAATCCTCCGCTATCGTGGCCCATATCTTGTCCCGCATGGCGTTCAAGGTGTTAATAATATTTTTTGTTATTTATTCTTTTTATGGGATAAGCCAGTAAACGAGCAGACGAATCACCTTATGGTAAGCAATTGGCGCCACTCATGAACATTCAAAACACTGAAGGCGTTACCGGTCTTTTGTGGATTAGGAATTAGAGGACTGTTGAAGATTTAGGGATTAGGAAGATTGGAGAAAGGAGTAATTGGGTCTCCGGTAATCTCTCTCACACGACGAAAACGACCGTTGTGTCGGTTTTCTGTGAGGCCGTGGTATCACTCCGGTCGAGCCGGCCCATTCGTGACGAAGCATGGCTCTCCCACACTTAAAGAATTTCGATTAATTTTATTAGCTTTTATAAGTGGTATTATGGTTAAATTATTATTTAAATGATTTGATTCCTGTACAAAAGGAAGTGTGAATTCCGTCAAGAATGTTGTTCTTCTACAGCACTTAATGCCACTGTACAATGTAACACCCCCTTTACACTATTTATGTTATGAGTCCCATGTAATAGGGGGTAAGCCTTTTGCTATAAACCGGGTACGATTCCAGGCTCCGTACAACTAATGAGATTTAACTAATACATTGCCTGACCCGGGTATCAAATCAAGACCACTCGGCCAACGAGACAGTCAGTCAAAAAATATAAAACTGAAAACACATTAATAAAAAACCAGATCGCCCCATTCTCCTCATTTTAGCCAGAATTTTATTGTTGACCGCTTCAAGGTTGTTACTGTTGAGGGTATAAATACGTCCTGAATTTTACATGTTATTCATAATATTGTAAGAAACAGTGTCAACAGTTGGTCGTCTTGAAATTCAAAGGAAATTCAGAACAATGTCGAAAATTATTTTGTTTGTTGCTCTCGTTACGTTTATGTGCGTTACTGGTACGTATTACGTGTTAATTGTTCATTTATTTTGATGTTCTTTTTTTTCAGTTTTTTATTTTCTATTTAATAACATTGGGATTTTTAGAGTAGATTTAAATGCTGCCAGAAATCCAGACTTCTAACGTTACGTCTGCAAAAATTCAAAGCAATCAGTTTAGTAGTTACGGCGTGAAAGCGGAACAAACAAACAAACTCACTTTCCCATTTATAATATTAAGTAAGGATTTCATAACAGGGAAAAGTACTTTCGGACCTTAAAATTTTAATAAAGCCTTCAAAATATGCAGGCTCAGTGCTACTGAAGAAATAGAAAAGCTGTTACTTCACTCAGATTGAGCCTACAGCCACGAGTTCAACAACCATTTTTGCAACCACGCAACTAATGACGCAATAACTTTTGTTATTATAGGTGCTTTGTACTTGTATAGTCCTTTGTCTGATTCACATTCTAGTCATATTGACACTTGAGCAAACAATATAATGTATGATTACACTCATAGGTACTATGAGTTTCTAGAAAAAGTAGTTATGTTGCTTTAGTATATAATTTGCGATTGGATAAGAAAATTTTATACTAGCTGGAGTATAAAAAATGGGTGTTTATTCTTTCTATCTCTGTTTAACTCACGGATGATGAAAAGGCGAGACTAAATTGTTGTCGAATTTACAAATTCTTCTTGTATTTGTTTCAGCACAAAACAACTACAACTGGGCTCCAGGGTAAGCTATCTTTTATACAATTTATTAATTAAGAAATAACTGATAAAAAGTGGAGAACTCGTAAAGAACAGATTACCTACAGGCAAAAGCAATATACCAAAAGTAAAGCGATTAATATTAAAAAAAAATAACTTCATCTCACATTAAATATATCTCCTGAGCATTATCGGTTCGTTTTTTCGTTAAAATGTATTTTAACACTGTAAACGTACCAAGCAATCATATTGTAATAGGTATCTAAATTCGATTTGTTCCATGTTTCAGGGCTGCTGCTGGATTTTTAAACAGGCCCTTGATCCCTGTAAGTATTAAAATTTTTAAATAGGAACATAACTATGTTGACAATAAATTGCTACTGTAACAGTAGTATTAGGATTTCGTTTGACTGCTGTTGAAGGTGGCACATGATCTATTTGCTCATCCCTC